GCCGGATAGCTGCGATGGACTGCAGGCTGCAGGATTTGGTACTAAGATCAGCACTGACAGAAGTTGGGCTGACGGGGTGACAATTGCTGGAAGGTGTTGTTGTGTGTGTGACGGTTGGGTTGGGATTGTCGGCACCCGGGCAAGGCTAAGGGCCTAAGGCGATCATGGTGGTTGTTGGCAGCGGTTCCATGTGTGTGAGAGTGGGGTACTTCACTTCCCCTGCTTGGTTTTTGACAATTTTGAGTGCGCATCATGCATGGCGAACGCGCCACGTCTTCTTCTTCTTCTTCTTCTTACTCTTATGTTTCCTTCGTTTCCCAATTCAACAGAAAACAAAACCTGTGTTGATTTTCAAATGCTGCCAACGTTTACCTCGTTGGAGCAAACCTTTGTGGAAACATTTGTGCTACGGTGCTAGTACCTTCTTCACCCAAATACAATGTACGGTAACTATAGCTCTATTTGGCGTATCTTTCCGTCTAAATATAGCAATAATGACCGTACGTTGTATTCGGGTGAAGAAGGTAGTAATAGCAATAGTGCATTGTCTATAGTTAAGCACTTGTTGCCCAACGTCGTCAGGCTATAGTGACCGTAACACTGGAATGCACTATTGCTGTTACTACCATCTTCACCCGAATACAACGTACGGTCATTATTGCTGTATTTAGACGGAAAGATACACCAAATACAGCTACAACAGTACGCCACAAGGAATTATGTTGCTCAAGTCACTTGTAACACTGGAAGAACTGGCGAGAACATTGTCCGGACTCCGAGGACTACGAACATTTTTAGTGTTGTAGCTGCAGGGATTTCCCTGAGTGGGAGATTTTCCATATATTAGATAGATAGATAGATAGATAGATAGATAGATGAGAGAGAGAGAGAGAGAGAGAGAGAGAGAGAGAGAGAGAGAGAGAGAGAGGTTGTAAGGGTGGTTAGGTTAAGTGTTGTTTTCGTCGTGCGTCAAGGAGGGGAGGATGACCACGTTTTCGACAAATTATCTTGATGTCTTCTGTATGCGTATGACATTGTGTACAATCGTCTCTTTTGAATGGATGCATGGAGCTATCGGTTGCTTATTTTATGCATGATGACCTTTTCCGGTAGTTCTGACTGAGAAGCTGGTGTGTTTTTTGCTCACTAGGTGAAGGTATGATGCCGTGCACATTAAATGAATTTCCCATTACACCCTCGTAAGCTTCCACTTGCAAAACGAACGCAACAGGTGGTTGTCCTCCTACAAGTGCATAAGAGTCCGGACTTTGGTGGTTACTAATGAGAATGGACATTAAATGTTATACAGCTAATAGTGTTTCTTTTGCGATGCTTGCTGTGGATGTTCACTCCTCTGATCATCTGTTTGAACGAGTGAGCGCGCCACACACTCTCGTCACGTTCTTCCGCTTGTATAAGGAATCCAATGTCCGTTTGCTCTATGATCTCTGAGCTCTGAGTAGGTGCATTTGACATCCTCATTACACTCTTCTGCATGGACAGAAGCCTGTAGTCCATGATTGTCGCCTGCATCCATAATGTTTTTATGTGTATGATTGTGTTCTGAGTTTTTCCTTTCCATCAGTTTCTGCAAAGGCTACGGAAAATACGGATCCCCTCCTCTTTCGTAAATGGTGATTGTGCACACATTGTGATAGACCTTTCCCATGAGTTCCTTCTCTTCTTGCTGATGTCAACCATCACTGCTTTAATTGAGTAAGGATGACATGGGCATCGTTATACACTCCTCAGGGCATCGTCGGGCTCCGAGGAAGAATCCTCGGAAAAGTACAGGGGTTTTGTCGTCTTCGTTACACTCATCCTCGGAGCATCGGTTTTAGGACTCGTCCTTGGAGCAATGTCAGAAAAAAAAAAAGGAAAAAAGAAAAGAAAAAAAGTTGTGCTTCAGGCTTTCAGCCAATAGGGTGCCACCACGATCAGAATTCTCGGTTGTAATGTCTGTCTACGTGCATGCCCTCTCCTCTCCGTAAAACACGGATCCTCGGGCCCCAAAGGACCTCGCGAGGTCCTTTGGAGCCAAGGACGATTTGGCTGGGAAATCCTCGGAGCCCAAGGATTTGTCCTCGGAGTGTTTTCACATTTTCATTTCTGATTTCATCTCCGAGGACAGGTGGAACGAAGACGAAATCCTTGGAATCACGTCCCCGAGGAGTGTCAAATGACGCCCCATGTCCCTGCATGTTTGAACACCTCGACTGAGGGCACGAAGGTTCTGCGCGCATTCCCAAGTCGTATCTCGAGTTTCTATATAACGAGGAAAGGACACGTGTTTGTGAGTGGGAGGTACGCGAGGCTACGACATGGATCGAATGACCCAATCATTTTTCATCCGAAGGGCAGTGCTCAGGGTTCGTTAACTCCCAGTTAAACTTTGTGATCATTGATAAAATTTCCCTCCATCTTATTGCCTTTTAAAGAGCAAACTGTCATCCCTTGGCCTGCCATCGCCTCTTATTGGCCCCGTACATTGTGTTCGTAAAGTTATCGTGCAGAGTATATGAGGGAGAGAAGCTTTGACTGTGTGCTGCTTGGAGACGTAGAGTTCTCGGAACTAGCAGCGCAACTGCGCCCATCTGATTCCGACTCCGAGCTCTGCAATATGCCTCGCCGAACCCTCATCTGCAGTTGGGATCCCGATTCCTTCATTCACCCCCACATCCTTCGGCCCCTGTAACAGATCCTAAAAGGCTTGGCCGGGTTGTTGTGAATATTCTTTTGAACTAGGAAGACGCTGCTAGCCCACCACTTCATCTTCGTCCTCTTCCGACCTGGAACTCCACACCCGTCCTTCCCGAGAATCCTTGGCACACCCCCAGTTACGCCCCTTAAGGGCCCTTTCGCATTTTAGCGCGACTCCAACAGAAAAGCCGCGTAGGGTGTGAGGTTGTCCGTCACAGTCTGACCCCAAACTCTCTGCTTCCGGAGTGAACAAGAAGAGACAGAAAAACAAAGAGAGCCTTAGGTTTATAGTTGCAAGCGTACGTCAACTCTCATAGCCTTGTTATCCAAGCTTTGTCATCCAGTACCAAAGATGTGCGGTCATTATGATCACAGTATGTTGAGTCTTGTAGACTGAAAGTTGCCCCAAATACAGCTATAATCATGTCTGTTCTAATCGGGGGAAGACGGCAGCCATGTACTAGCTCGAATGTATAAATTAAACCACCAGTACTTCGTACGCGATTTTAGAAAATGTACGGGCCACTGCAGGAGCGCCCAAATTCATCCAACTAGAAACGTTTCTACTTTATTTTTTTTCCGCTGCCCATAGTTGGGCCAAGTACTGGTGGTTTAAGAAAGAGACAACTTCGCCTGTGACCGCTGCATATTTTGGAATTTGTAGGAATAACAGTCCACTGCAAGCTTGGGCGAAGACCAGTTCAAAACTGCAAGAAAAACAGTAAACTGCGCGTTGGAATGGGCAGCCGGATTGGTAGCCGGTAGCTTTGACGTTAAGGAGATGTTTTGTCAGCTTCCTCATTCGGCTATTTTGAAGGCTGTGGAATGGGCAGTGAGTGTTTTTGAGGAAAAAGGATTCTACAAATGTCTGGTCCATAGTCGGAAGAAACAGGTCAGATTAAGTAGGACTGCAGTAAGTGAGGTTGGCTATAAGTCGGTCAATTTTTCTCTGTTAGTTAGGTATGTCGTGTATGACCTGGATAACACTTATACTATGGCCATGGGATCTGTGCTCAAGCAACACC